TCACCAAGTTGCCCAGGTGGGTCTCAAACCCACGGGCTCAGGCAATCGACTCACCTCAGCCTCCCAAAGGCACGGGATTACAGGCTGAGCCACCGAGCCCAGCGACAATTTAATTTTCTAAGGCTCAGTTTGCTCATCTTTAAAATGGGAACAACAACTCTATGTAGCATTGTTGAGTGATTCAGTTGAAGTGACATAGGTTGAGCACCTCAGATGCTGCCTGTTGCACAGGCGCTTAGTAACCTCTGGTTTTGGTTAGCAACTGACCTGATTCAGGGACCCTCACAATTTCCACTTTAACATCTGTGCAGTTTCTCCCCTTATCCCCTGTTTGCCTCCCCTCCCAGTCAAATGTTATCGTTCCTCTTCTATCATACAACTTAAACTATATTCCACTCCTCCTTCATAACCTGGTTCAGAGTTTTCCTCAGCCTGAAATCTTCCCAGAGTACCCCCACCTCCCTCCTCTATTTGTGCATTGGTGTCTGGAAGTTTTGTCTCATCCTGTCCCTTGCTTGGGTTGGGGCAGATAAACTGGGCTTTCCCTCATGCTCCTTGGTGCTCTGCAGTGGCAGGGCTCCCAGGGCACAGTATAGGTGAGTGCTGTCCACTCTCAAGCTGGCAGCTCATTCATAGGACTGAACATTCTATCTGCGGAGGAAAGGGGAAGGGAGGGTGCACCGAGAGGGATCTGACCACATTCTGTTTGATGAGAAAACCACTCGACCTTCTCTCAGGAAAGGTGGATTTCCTCCTTAGATTAGGCCCTTTTCAGTCCTTGACAAAAACAAACACACACAGAGGCAGATCACTCATGGAATCAGAAGTGACTGGGGCTGGGGATGGCAATGCTAAGAGAAAAAGACAAGTTGTGGAGGTGCACAGACCACGATTCCATCTCTGTGGTGAAAAAAATTCAACGAATGCATTTGCAAATATATATAAATGCACATGAAAAAGTACCTGTGGATATATTTGAGGGTGAGTGGAATTGGGGGTAGATGAAAGAGGACTTTCACATTGTACTTGGTATATTTCTTATTGTTTTATTTTTATTTTTTTGAGTCAGGGTCTCACACTTGCCCAGGCTGGAGTGCAGTGGCACAATCACGGCTCATGCAGCCTCGACCTCCTGGGTTCAGGCGATCCTTCTGCCGCAGACTGTCTAGTAGCTGGGACTACAGGTATGTGCCACCAAGCCTGGCTAATTTTTTAAAAATTTTGTAGAGTTAAAGTCTTGCTATGTCACCTAGACTGGTCTCAGACTCCTGGCCTCAAGCAATCCTTCCGCCTTGGCCTCCCAAAGTTCTGGGATGACAGGCATGAACCACTATGACTGGCCATACCTGGTATATTTCTATACTGTTTAAAACAAATAAGAATGTGTGCATGTATAATGTATGTAATTAATAAACGACAAAAATTATCCCCAAAAGGGAGAAAAAAACTGGGGGTGCAGGCCTAAAAGACTCTTCATTTCCCATCTCTGGGCAGCCGCCTTATTAGGAGGCTCCAGACGTAAAGCCCCAGGGTATCCCTTAGGCTCCCAAGGTGTGGATTTCTGAAAGACAAGAGTGCCAGGGTGTAAGCAAGCGGAGAGACATCTGGAACCAGCCTGCTCTGCCCTCAGTCTCCCGGTAACAGGTCTGGGATTATGGGGGCTGGGTGGATGGTCCGGCACAGGGATATGGAGTGGGCATTACATACATGGAGACACATGCTCCTGTTCTTTTGAGGACAAGAGGTCTGTAACTCCAACATGGAGGATCTCCACAGAGTGAAATCCCCTTCCAAAGACCAGCAGAGCCTACTGGAGTTAGTCCAGTCGTGAGTGTGGGTATGAATTTTCCGGGGAGATGAAGCCCTTGCTGCCAGCCCCACTCCTCCCCCACTAAATCTGACTGTGAGCCGGGCTTGGTGGCTCAGCCTGTAATCCCGCGCCTTTGGGAGGCTGAGGTGAGTGCATTGCCTGAGCCCGCGGGTTCGAGACCCGCCTGGGCAGCGAGACCTCATCTCTACAATAAATCAAAAAATCAACT